CAGATCTTTAAAATACAGAAAGAAGAGAGGGCATCGGGGAACCACAATAAAGGGAAAAGAAGAGTGTTGGGGAGGGACACACTACAAACTGGGTTCAGGGTCCCATGGAAAAGGACTCTTCTCCAGAAATCACCTGTAGCACTCAGAGCTGAGAAGTATGTCCTGGTTTGCTGGCTTTAAATAAAGTCGTACCCAAGCCAGGCCTGGTGGTACAGGCCTATAATCCCAGCTACTCAGGCAGGGGTGAGGATGGAGGATTCCAAGTTCAAGACCTACCTGAACTACATAGTGCATTGGAGGCCAGCCTCAGCAGCTTAGCTGAGACTGTCTCAGAAAATAATAAAGAAGGGGTTAGGGATCTAGCTCAGTGGTAGAACATGTGCCTAGCATGCATGAGGTTTTAGGTCCAATGTCTGAGGAGGGGGTAAAAATAGCTAAGAAAAGGAATAGTACAATGATTAATGCTTTAACTTCCCAAGTCATCCCCACAGTCTTTCATATTAGACATTAGTGTAAAGTTATATCCTTTGGGAAGAGCTAAACATCACAAGCATAAAATTACAGTCCCTGGGAAATGAGCAGTGATAATTTGGGGATACAGTTTTGTACCAGGAGATCAACAGAAGCAGCCGTGGGGATGAACTGTAGAGGCCTTCAGGCTGTTTAAGCCTCCATAACATAGTTGCTGTCTGGGTTGGTTTTTGAATCCAGTTCTTAAAGCACATACTGTTTGTTGAATGAATATTTTCTTCTACACAGAAGCAATCCATCTTCACAAAAATTGCTTTATTGAATCCCTGTATTTTCTATATTATCCCCACTCCCTTATCCAAGCCTTGAGAAGAAAGAATGGGGGACCTTGGAAGCTTTTTACTATTGCTGTGAAATTTCAAATATACCGAAGAGAAAGCCAAGAGACTAAGCGGGCAGGAGTTGGAATCAGATGGTTCTCCAGCCTCCCCCTTTGTTCTCAACTTTGTGATTCGGTCTTTACCATGTGGTCATCTGACAGACTCTCGCGAGCAGAGGCATGTTACAGTAAAATAGACAGAAGGCTTGGGAGGTGACAGGGGATTGTCTCATTTTACTTCCCATTCCTAACACCATGACCCTGCAAGTGGCAAACGATTTCCAGAGGTTCCAGCAACTCCAAGTTTCCAGCACACGTCCCCTCACGCCCCTAGAGCAGCCTCAAGGGAGATTCGAGCACCAGCTTATGTTTCTGGATTATGGTGGTGGGTCATCTGGCCTCTTGATCAAGGAAGCTGAGGAGACCCCACCAGATGGACTTGAGCCAGTGTCCAGTCTATAAAGAGGAGGGTCAACACGGAGGAATCATTTCCTCCATGCTTCCAAGAGGAGCCAACAATGGTCGAGCAGGACCTTTGACTTATCCTCACATGGATGGAGCTGGTAAAAGAAAGGAGCCAGGGGCTCCTCCCAACCCCATGGGACCCCTGAGGAACAAATCCTCTAACGACCTCAAGAGTAAAAACAAATCAGTTTATCTGGTCCAATTGTATGTCCTTAAACACCCAAAAGGGAAGTATAACCAAAGATTAAAGGGGCCAACATAATATCATAAGAGCATACATATACACAACTAAAAGTTACTCGACAAACAACAAAGCCAGACAGACGATACCTTCAGTCGAGTTGTTGGCCAGGATAGATAAAGGCTCTTCCAGACAGTAACCCAACATACTAC